GCACTGCTGCTGCAAGCAGTGGCTGTTACAACTTGCTGTGCTGCAGTGTCGCCATCACCTCTTTTACAGAGAACATAACAGACGTGCTCATACCTGCTCCTGCTGTCCGTGTCATGAAGAACAGAAGCAAATACCCTGATTTCATGATACTACTTTTGTTAAAAGTAGTGACTTTTTTTTGTTAGAAAATATTTCAACACATGGAGATAATAATGTATCTATTTACTGTGATAAATGATTTGCCAGTATGCTTGAAAACTATTTTTTCAAAATATGGCTGTTTTTTTCTTTTTCATTTTTCCTTCACCTTTGTTTCCCTGCTCACCAAAGGCAACCAGTATTTATTACTCTGAGGTTGTTAATGTATTGATTTCACACATTTTTATTCTTATTATATCTGCATATCCATAAATAACAATTTTAAATTTTGTCCGGATATTCATGTAAAAGTATGTCCCTCTGTTTGTGAGTTACTTAACTGCAGATTCAACCAAATGCAGATTGAAAATATTTGGGGGAAAATACCTGGGTACTTGACATGTGCAAATTTTCCTCATACATTATTCCCTAAGCATTTTAGTGACAGCTGTTTGCATATTATTATATTATAAACAAATAATCTAGAGATGGTCTAAAGTACAAAGGGGCAGCTGTTTGGTGCAGGGGTTGAGATGCTACCATCCTATTTTGAGCACCTGAGTTCCCATTGCTGTCTTTGTTTCCTCCTGCACATTGGTCCTGTAACACGTTGACTGGTACTAACAACCAGGTTGAATTCCTGGTTCTGGGCCATTGCAGAGTTAACCAGTGGACAGTCTCTCTCTGTTTCTTTATGTTTCAAGTAGATAAATTTAAAAAGACAAAATTGTAAGATAATACTTAAAAATATACAGGAGGATGTGTAGATTATGTGCAAATACTATACCATTTCACACAAGGGCTTGAGCATCCATGGATTTCAGTGCCAGTATGTGTATGTCAACTGATTTGTATTGCTGTCTCAAGGATTTTAAAATAGATGGCATTGTAGGGTCCAGGGGAATCTAACATTGGAGTAGCTGAGAGACTGCACTAACATTTCAGTAGAGGAGACATAATAAATAAATAAAAGTAATACTATAATACTAGGTAGGGTACATGCCACAAAAGAAAACTAAATGTGATGAGAAGCTAGAAAATGATGTGGGTAGGGGCTTTATGCTACTCTAGATAATCAGTGTATTGCTCTTTGAGGAGTTGGCATTTGAGCAACTCAATTAATTGAGAGGGAAAGTAAGTCATGATGCGATCTGGAAGGAGAATTGCGGGGGCAGGAAGGGGAATCAGTGCCAAGACTATGAGATAGAACTAGCCTTGTAATACTTGAGAGATGGAAAAGTCAAGTGTGTAAAGTTAGGTTAGTTGGGAGAATGGCTAGGAACTGACAGAAGGAGCCAAGAACAAGATCTGGTGGGTCTGTCATGTAACAAGAAGTGAAATTTTGATTATGATGATAAGCCACTGAGTACTTTTTGAGCAGGGGAGAGAACATGATTTTACCTACTTACAAGATTACTTCTACATTGAGATTCTGTTGAGTAGAAAAGAATTTGGGAACTATTAGTATGAAAGATCTTAAAGATATTTTGTCATACATTTTTCTGCACCTTTTTTTACTTTAATAGTTTTGTAAAAAAAAAAAGGGGGGGGGTATTTTTGTTAGCTTTATTTTTTATTAGTTCTTGTGTAAAATTGCTCTGAAAGGACCTAAAAGATAAAGATGTAAGAGATCTTATACCTACAAGTGTGAGACTAAATAGAGAAAAGACCAAGAAGGAGCTAAATATCAAAATTTTGGGGTGTGTCAAGAAGAGTGTACATGTTGCAAATATTCAGTCAGCTGAGTTTTTGTAAATCGAGCTCTCAGATGTGGTGACCCAGGGTGAGAACCCATGCTTGACCAGGATACCACAAGTGTCAGGTTTTCTTGTGGTTACTACTCTATTTTTTCCTTCCCATGATAACATACCACCTCCACCCCAACCTCCAGCCAAATTCTGACAGCATACATTAGTGTCCCTGGTTTTTATACTTGTGCTCTGAGCTTCATCCCATTCATAATACATTTGTTAAAAAGTTACAAAATTGAGAACAAATCTGATAAATGAGTCAAATCTAATGGATTCTGATACGTTGCCTTCTAATCCTCGTTCTCTATGTTCCATACAAAGATCTTTGCCTTTTCTTCATGTTAGTAGTTAATGATGATAATGGTAGATTATGAGTTAATGCTTATTAGGTACCCTGCACACACCCTGTGAAGTGCTGAGTGTTTTACATGCAGTAGACCGTTACACCCCTTACAGCCATTTTGTAGTTGGAACAGATACAGACAGGGGATGTGTCTTGCCCAGTTATCCATGTAATTGTTTTTGTTTACTGTGTAGCATTCTTATACTGTATCAAGTTAAAGCCAGTTTTGTCAGTTAATTTTACAGTTTTCTACTTAACTACTTGAAAGGCAGAGGCAGACACAGAGAGAAAGAACTCCATTTTCTTGTTTATTTTTCTAAGTGCTCCCAATGGCTTGGGCAAATGCCAGGAGCTGGGAACTCAGTCCAGGTCTCCCAGGTAGTAGGTAAGGACCCAACTACTTAATCCATCATCTGCTGCCTCCCAGAGTCCAGACTGAAGGGAAGTTGGAATCTAGAGCCCAAGCTGGGAAGCCAACCCAGGTACTGCTGATGTGAGAAACGAGGATTTTTCCCCCCGCCTACACTCTCTTATTTAGAGAGAGAGAGAGAGAGAGAGAGAGAGAGAGAGAGGGAGAATTGTTACAGAGAGATAGATTATCCATTTGCTGGTTCACTACCCAGATGACTGCAAGGGCCAGCATTGGACCAAGCCAGGAGCTTCCTCTGGGTCACCCATGTGGATAGCAATGGCCCAAACCTTATTCTGCTTTTCCTATGGTTTTAACAGGGAATTGAATTCAAAGTGTAGCAGCTAGGACAAATTGGTGCTGTTATGGGATGGTGGCATTACTGACTGCTGCAGTGCCCCCAAACAAGTGTCTAATTGCTTTGCCAAGCATACTTTTCCTTTTTCACAGTTGGTTGAATCATTTTTAAGTCGCTGCTGAATGTGGAATGAAATGTTTATGATGCATCATGGTCTTCTACCACCTCTCCTTTGCCTCCTTCCTCAACATGTTTCATTGCTCCTGCATTCTCTTATACATTCACTGCCTTATTTGCCCTCATTATATTCTAGTATCTCTGAGTAAGATCTCAGTTTCAGCTCTCTTCTAGGACATTTTCTGTTCATATCTGCCTATATTTTGTTGGTGTCCCATTCCCTCCAGAGTTTTGCTTCTGACAACTGGAAGGAAGCCTTCTTGTAATCCATTTAATATGTAACACTTTGTACTCTGTGATCTATAGCTCTCATTCTCTTGATTATATTTGTCTTGTTTACATGTATGATGCTTTCTTGCCTTGCAAAAAATTATCTTACATAGAATTGAGAAAGATAAGTCACATTCCTTCACATCCTCATCCCCTTTCACTGTGGTTCCACAATAGCAGGCAGGGTAGGATTGGCATCCAGAGGAGTGCCTGGCTTGTAGTAGATCCTATGTAATTATACTGCAATGAATGACGTAGCTCTTGAAGTGAATCGTCTTTGGTTTAATTTTTTTTTTTTAAGATTTATTTATTTTTATTGGAAAGGCGGATATACAGAGGAGGAGAGACAGAAAGGGAGATCTTCCGTCAGTTGATTCACTCATCAAGTGACCACAACAGTCGGTGCTGAGCCAATCCAAAACCGGGAGCCAGGAACCTCTTCCAGGTCTCCCATTCAGGTACAGGGTCCCAAGTCTTTGGGCCATCTTTGACTGCTTTCCCAAGCCACAAGCAGGAACCGGGATGGGAAGCAGGGCTACTGGTGCCCAATTGGGATCTTGGCACGTTCAAGGCGAGGACTTTAGCCTCTAGCCTACTGCGCCAGGCCCGGTTTAATTTTTTTAGTGTGATATTGTGACTGTTGCCACCATGTGACACTTAATAAGCAACCAATAATTATCCTTTGATTTTAACCTAGTTTTATTTTGTGTTTACTTGGGGTTTAGTTGAGCCCACATGTTTGTTTCAGGCAAGATACGTCCCAATTCAAAATAATCTTAATGCAAAAGAATTCGCAGAAGTAAAGCTATAGTTAATGTTTAGTGATTTTAGGCACAGGAAAGGCCTTTGGTTACTGACATCCTTTTTCCAAACATCATTCCTTCTGTTTCACTGGGTACTTACTGTACAGAGGCTGAGTACTGCTCTGCGGGGCATTGTACCTACTGATAGGAGAGCACCACCGCAGGGGCCTTCATCTGGTCAGCACCTTGTCCCTGAAAGCTTTGTGATGTGTGCATGGTAGTTTCCTTGGATCTGATGCATTCACATCCTTAAAACATCACAAAAGACAGTAAGAATTTAACATTGTAAACAGACCTGTTTTTGTTAAATTGTGTATTTCCCTCAAATTTATCTGATAGTCATTTTGGAAATAGTTTCATGAAAATTTCATGTGCTTGCGATTTGAGAGTTTGGTACATCTTAAGATAATATTTAATGTTTGCAAATGATTACATGACAGGTATCATGAGTTTTGCCCAAACTGAATATAAGTCAGTGAAACATTTTAAAGATGATAATGGTTTTAGGAAAGAACTCGATTTCTGGTAAGTCTTTTGTTCAAATCAATATATGTTCAAAATTGACACAGCAAGGTTTTTTTTTTAATATGTAAAAAGCAAAGCAAACTATTTGCTTTTGATTATCATTTCAAATTGCACTTTAGTTACTTGTTCATGTTATGAGGATGTGATTTGTTTGTAAATGAGTGGTCACAGAATTTTTGAGAGAAAATTTCTTCTCGAAATAACTTTTTTTTAAAAAAAAAAATGGATTTAATATGTGTAATTTGAGTTGGTTTAAATTAGGATCCTTTCCCCCTTTCTCTTTCAGAACTTGAACCAATGAAAGGAGCCCATGGCACTTGGGAAGAGAGATGTCACTCCTCCCTGCTTAAAGGGAGCTTGGCCTTAGGGCCTGCATGAGTTTCCACCCTTGTTCTTGAGTAGCTGCTGACTTTGATTACAGGAAGGTCTCTGAAGATTTGTATCAAATGACGTCAATGGCCAGCTTGTTTTCTTTTACTAGTCCAGCGGTGAAGCGATTGTTGGGATGGAAACAAGGTGATGAGGAGGAGAAATGGGCAGAAAAAGCAGTCGATGCATTGGTGAAAAAACTGAAAAAGAAAAAGGGTGCCATGGAGGAGCTGGAGAAGGCGCTGAGCAGCCCAGGACAGCCGAGCAAATGTGTCACTATTCCCAGATCTTTAGATGGGCGCCTGCAGGTCTCTCACAGGAAAGGCCTACCCCACGTTATATATTGTCGGGTTTGGCGCTGGCCTGATTTACAGAGTCATCATGAGCTAAAGCCATTGGATATTTGTGAATTTCCTTTTGGATCCAAACAAAAAGAAGTTTGCATCAACCCATACCACTATAAGAGAGTGGAGAGTCCAGGTAGGTTTGCAACCTTGAGAAGTAAGAGAAATAAGCAAACTTCTCCCTTCCTGATTTGTGTGTAGCTATTTTTAGTAACTGAAAAATTATATTTGCCTTGTGTTTACTTCTTGAACATTAACATTTTGGAATAGTGACTTATTCAATTTATCTTTTTGTAACATAGGTGATAAACCTCCCAGGTCCCCATTATCTATGCTCTGCCTTTCCTTTGCCAAGTCTGTCTCTGTTTTGTTGAAGCTTAAGATTCACGCAAGCCCTAGATCCATTTCCTTTTTGTCTGTTCAAGAACCAGGTGTTCTGTGGGTGTGTGTCTAGCCCACAGTGCTGAATAGCTTGCAAGTCTTGGCTTTGCTCTCAATCTGGCTTCCTGTTAATGTGTAGGTGATAACTCGAGTATTTGAGTCCCTGCTCTCTGTGTGGAAGACCTAGATTAGGTTGTAGGCTCCTGGCTTTTGCCTGGCCCAGACCCGGCTGCTACAGATCTTTGGGAAGTGAACCAGATCTTTCTTGGGCTTTCAAGTGAAAGTGAAAATAAGTAAACGTAAGTTTAAAAAAAAAATTTTTTTTGCACAATTATCTCACTTTGAAGCATTGTATTTTCCCCTTTGCCAGATTATTTGCACTCATATGGGATCCCAGGCATGCAAGGCATGGACTTTAACCACTATGCTATCGTGCCGGGACCTGATTTTTTTTAAGGTTTATTTTTTATTGGAAAGGCAGATTTACAGAGGGAAGGAGATACAGAAAGATCTTCAGTTCCCAAGAGGCTGCAGTGGCTGGAGCTGAATTGACCTAAAGTCAGGAGCTGGGCGCCTCTTCTGGGTCTCTCATGTGAATACAGGGTCCCAAGTTTCTGAGCTATCCTCTGTTTCCCAGACCACAAGCTGGGAGCTGGATGGGACATAGAGCAGCTAGGACACAAACTGGCACTCATATGAGATCTTGGTCATGCAAGGCGAGGATTTATCTACTGGGCCACTGCTCCAGGCCTGTTACCTGTGATGGTTAACTAAATTTAGTTCCTTGCAGGCCATTAGACTCTATGATGATTGTAGACTGGAGATTGCTTTCAGTTTCTTGTCACTCGACAGTCTTTGTAGGCAGCTCACATTCTCATCGTCTTCATTGCCAGTAAGGAAGAGAGTGTCTATTACAAGAAGGGCACGATATCCTTTGGAAATAGAATCTCATGCATCCTGTTATCTTTGCTGTGTTCTGTTGGTTTGAAGCAAGTTCCAGGTCATGCCGATACTCAAGAGAAGGTGCCCCAAGGAGATGGTACCTAGAGTGGGAGTCACAATGGCTGCCTCAGTCTGTGTACCACACTGTGTTTACGTGGAGGATAATGTGAGCTAGATGTGGTTAAAAAAACAACTCAGACATTGAATGTGAAGACTAGCAAAAGAGTTTAAGTGAATACACTATTAGGGTTCAATTTTAAGAGCTTTAGAAGTGCTTGTTGACTTGGAGATAACTTTGACTTGTTGAATTCGTGGGGAGCTATAGCCTTGAAGGAATATATCAGGAAAGGAAGATGTGGTAAAGTAAAGATACTGTGAAAAGCTTCTTTATTTACCAGGAGTAAGTCTGAGTTTTGTGCACTGATGTTCCTGGTTGCCAGGATGTGACTGATGACCAGACAATAGAAATGCCTTTTTTGTGATAAATTTTTTTTTTCCAGCTGTGGTTCATTCTATAGCATGGACTGGAATATAGCTCTCATAAAAATGACTCTGAAAATTTCATATCTTACTTAGCTCAGTGATTGGAAAAAGACTAAGAAACCTGATTTTTGCCCCAAGACAAAATGTCTAGGGGGAAGACACAGCTAGGCCACTTATGGATTAATTTAACTTTCCCCTTGATCAAGCAGCTGTGACAAAGTGTGGGTCATTTTATGATAATCATATTGATAAGGTAGTAATGGTAACACTTAGTCAGTGCTTATGGGTTAGGTGCTTTTGTAACTATTCGATGGCTCTTTTCCAGACTTAGAAATGGGTACTTAAGAGTTTTCAGGTATGGAAACCAAGATTTAAAAGGGAAGTAATCTATAGGATCACTTGCAAAAAGATAAAAATAAAAACTGGGGAGTGATAACATGATAAAGATAGAAAAAAAGCCTAGGAAGTCCAATGTTTACATTTTTATTATTATTATTTTTTTTTAGGAGTTATTTATTTGAAAGGCAGAGTGTCAGGGAGAGATAAACAAATCTGTTCACTCCGCAAATGGCTGTAGCATCTGGGGCTGGACTGCCCAGAAGCCAGGATGCTGGAATTCCAGCTGGGTCAAGTGGGTGTCAGGTGTCTGTGTACTGTGCCATATTCATTGCTTCCCCAGGCACATGGGCAAAGAGCAGTGTCAAATGCAGCAGAAGTAAACAAGTGTTCCGATGTAGGAGCCCCTCACTGCCCATGTTACTGGTGATGCCTCTTCTTGCTTGGCCATGACCGTTGCCCCTCATCCACTGTTTAATAGACAATTATTTCCAAGTGGGTTAGCATTGGTTCTGGATCCAGACTTTGTGGGTCTCAGTCTTGGCTTTACCATATACTTATTGCCAATGTGACTTCAGGCAAGTTATGTAACTTTTATTGTGAGTTAGTTTTGTCACCTACAAAATTAGATTAATAATGTCAGCCTCATAGGATTGTTGTGGGGCATAGGTGAATCAATGCATGAAGAAGTGCATAAGTTAAAACCTTAGCTGACTCATGGGGGACTGACATAGTGACTTCCTACAAGTGTCAGCATTCAATATGGATGCCAGTTCTTGTCCTAGCTGTTTTACTTCCTGTCCAGTTCCCAGTTTGTGGCTGAAGTCTTTGGGACCCTGTACCCATGTAGGAGACCCAAAAGAAGCTTCTGGTTTTGAATCAGCTCAGCTCTGGACATTGTAGCCATTTAGGGAGTGAAACAGTGAATGGAAGAAGTTTCTCTCTGTCTCTCCTTCTCTGTAAATCTGTCTTCCAATAAAATTTAAAAAAAAGTTTTAAAAAATTAACTGGCCCAAATATCAGTTCTAATTGCCAGTTCTGATAAAGTAATAAATTTTGGGTTGCAGGAAGTATGGTGATAACGTTTTTGAGAAAATGCTGCTAATGTCAGCTCTTTCAATTTTCAGATGTCAGCAGCTCTGACATCTGAAAATTGAAAGAGCACAGTGACCAATAATCAGAACAAGGGAAAGAAAAGTCCTTTGTGAAATGCAAGTATATCATAGATAAAAAGATTGCAGAAACTTCCAGAAACAGAAAACAAGATATATACAAAGGATTGGGTATCAAAATATTGAATTTATCCATACAAGTGTGGATTCTAGAAGAAAATGAAGCAGTATCCTCAAAATTCAGGTGTAAAGCGTCTGAAATTTTGCCTCCAAACAGACAAAACCTAAATATTTTCGTCCATGTGAAGAATCAAACAAGAACTTCTTTGTTTCTTATCCTCGCTGAGCTAGGTAATAGGGACAAAGTCTCAGGTGTGGGGCAGGTCTGGAGAGAATCGAGCAGCAGCCAGTCTGGAGCAGAAGGAAAAGGTGGAAGTTCTAGGCAAAAACCTGGGGTCAGGGAACCTGGGACCCATGGCATCTGAAAAATAGTATTGACAGGCATTTGACAATTTGTTGAAATTCCAGAAATGTTAGCATTTATATGAAAGTAAAGAACAAGGAGGGCCCAGTGGCGTGGCCTAGCGGCTTAAGTCCTCGCCTTGAATGCACCGGGTGCCAGTTCTAATCCCAGCAGCTCCCTTCCCATCCAGCTCCCTGCTTGTGGCCTGGGAAAGCAGTCAAGGACCGCCTGCGGCCTTGGGACCCTGCACCCATGTGGGAGACCTGGAAGAAGTTTCTGGATCCTGGCTTCGGATCGGCGCCAGCTACCGGCCGTTGTAGCTGCCTGGCGAGTGAATCATTGGACGGAAGATCTTCCCCTCTGTCTCTCCTCCTCTCTGTATATTTGATTTTCCAGTAAATAAATAAATCTTAAGAAAAAAAAAAGAGGAAACAGTTAACTAATGAAAGTATTCCTCAGGAAAACAACATAGTTCATTTGGCTCAACAATTAATAAATACAAATATTGGGTATTGGTTTAATAAGAAGTGTGTATATAACTCTTGAAAGAGAGGAATTAATACAAGGAAGCTACCCCTACTTACAATAAAATCAAGTTTGATTTGTCTTGAAAAATCAGAGCAATATAAGCATGTAATTTAGCAATGAACAAAGTAAGTATTAGAAGAAATTGCTCAGTTTAAATTTATGGTGACAATATTGGAGAGGGCTAGAAGTTAATGTCTTTGTTATGGTCTCTTTAAATATATATTATAACTTTGTCTGCCACTTTCATAATGACTTATGGATTATATTATCTGAAAATAAAATTTTTAAAAATCTTGTGCATAGATACTTCAGAATCAAGAGCGAAGCAAGTGCTTATAGTTATGCCTTAAAAAAGACTACATCATTACTGCACTGAATTCTTTAGTTATTTCACTAAGTCTTTCAGATTACTTGCCATCTAAACATAGAAATTCTTGCCATCTAATGCCTTGCTGTGGGGTTGCAGCTGCTCCATCATTTATTAGAACAGCAGTTGTTAGTACACAGTGGAAACAATTGCAGTTAGATGTTGACCAGGCATTTATAGAAATAATTAAACAAAAGAAGCAATAAGCACTCAGTTTGTAGAGCCTCTGGTCTGCATACATCACATACGTCTTCACGGGCAAGTACCAACTGTGTCACTTAATGACAGGCTGACTGTGTTGGTGCTGAATGTTGTCAAAGTGAAATTGTCTGAAATGAAATTACACTGACAAATACAGAAAAGTTAGAAGAAGGGATGAATTGGTACAGTAAGAGTTTGAATGAAATTTGGTTTTATTTGAAGATTTTTTTCCCCATCATGTATAGGGGAAGTAGTCAGATGTTTGTGTGTAATTTATGATGTGAATGTTTCAAGAAAATGAACATTTGAATGTGGTGACAGTTTACATTTTTTAAAAATGCATCCACTAAAATGCCTAATTACTATTATATATTTTCCTTGTAGTATTTAGAAGGAAGAATTTGAGTGGAAGGCTTGCATGGAAGGAGTGTTACTGTTTTCAGAGAATTGTTTTGAAGAAAACCTTACTGATATCTGAAGCTAAGAAAGATCAAGTGTTCAGAATTAGAAACCTGTAGCTTTTCAGAACATTCATATAATTGACTTCAACTTTGCTTTAATATTTCCTTGGTCAACTAACCATTCTGTTCCTTCCCTCTAACTGGCCCCACTAGCACTCCCGTAGGAAGTACCCCTGATTGTTTCTTAGAGAAGATAGATGGATTGGCTTGAAAAGCAGTTACAGAGAGCGAGTGGAGAGCTAGAGATCCCTTCGATCGGCTCATTGATTCCCCAGAATTCCCCAACCAGGAGCTCCCAAGTGTGTGCTTGATTGTCTTGCACAGTTCTTCTCAGGCACAGCAGTGGGATCCAGATCAAGAGGAGCAGCCTGAAATCCAAGCAGTGCTCAGATGGGTGCTAGTGTCACAGTTGGGGACTTAAGTTGCTGTATGGTGATGTTAGCCCCCTCCTGATTTCTTTAAGGACCAGTCAGATGCGTTTCCCACAGTATTTTGTTAGATTTTGTAAAAACTGGTAGTGCTGGGCCCGGCGCGGTGGCACAAGTAGTTAAAGGTCCTCGCCTTGCACGCCCAGGATCCCATATGGGCGCCGGTTCTAATCCCGGCAGCCCCGCTTCCCTTCCAGCTCCCTGCCTGTGGCCTGGGAAAGCAGTCCAGGACAGCCCAAAGCTTTGGGAACCTGCACCCATGTGGGAGACCCAGAAGAGGCTCCTGGCTTCGGACCGGCATAGTATCAGCCCGTTGCGCTCACTTGGGGAGTGAATCTGTCTCTCCTCTCTGTATATCCGCCTTTCTAATGAAAAAAATAATAAAAATAAATCTTTCAAAAAAAAAACTAGTAGTGCTCATCTCTTTTGGATTTCTATTGCATTCATTTTCTAGGCTGTGGTTGCTTGGAAAGATGACTCCCCTCCTATGGACAAGGAGTTGTGTGTTTTTGATTTTCTTTAACAGGCTAAATGGTTACAGTTTTTGATTTAGTATTATTGTGTTAAGTATTATTGTATAAAGATGGCTTTAGCCCTTCCTAAAAGTAAGTTGTTTTAGTAGGTTTCTAATTTTATGTAATTCCTTTACCAGTCTTTGATATAGATGGGATATTCCTGACATGATTCTTGTTGATTTTTGTCTTTCAGTCTTACCTCCAGTATTAGTGCCTCGTCATAATGAATTCAATCCACAACACAGCCTTCTGGTTCAGTTTCGGAACTTGAGCCACAATGAACCGCACATGCCACAAAATGCCACATTTCCAGATTCTTTTTCCCAGCCCAACAACACTCCTTTCCCCTTGTCTCCAAACAGCCCCTATCCCCCTTCACCTGCTAGCAGCACATACCCCAATTCCCCAGCAAGTTCCGGGCCGGGAAGTCCATTTCAGCTCCCAGGTAAGACTTTTATTAATACAAGAAGGGTAATTCCTGAGAATCAGCACTTTGTTTCACTGTGGCTCCTTGGGTAAAATGCTGTGTGCCGAGAGCTAGCTCTCCTGGAATCTGTTGTTTAGATAATTGATGCCCAGAAGAGTTTGGATTTGATTTTGCTCTATATTGTATGCTTTTAAAAAGTAGGAGTTAGATATTTTTCTAGTAGTATTTTCTGTAACTTAAAGGTTATAATAAATTTTGCTCATGTGTGTCATGTAAAGACATTTTATTACTCTGTCAAGAAACTCAAGAGTCATGTAAGGATATTCTTGTATTGAAACAAAATGTCGGTTAATTCAAGTTTTTAAAATTTTCTTGTGTGCGTGGTTAGAGGTGTCAAATATCAGCTGCTTAACTATTAAAAATTTACTCAAAAACAGGTGTTCACACATTATGTTAGTTTCAGTACTCTTTGTGGCTGTCTTTCCAGTGTGTTCCATACAGACCTGGGGTAAAAGAAAAATTACAGTTGTTATTTATAGTTACTGAGACCCCGAAGTCTAACTTGCTTTTACAAAATGCTCAGAAGTGGTGGAACTTGGGAAGATTTTGTGGTTAATGTTAAGTTTCCTCATCAGATTGTGTATAAGATGAAAGTTGTAATTAATGTTAATTGCAAAATTTGAGGAATGTATAATGTGAGGTGATTTTGACAAATTAGGAATCCTTGTAGTACATATATATCTAGAATAGAATAACCTAGTGTTCCAATTGATTTTCAGTAGCTGCAGTGTCTGAACATAGTTCTAAGTAAATAATGAAAATTCTTGAAGTCTGTTTTAATGAATTTTAACACTGAATTTAGTTCTCTGGATTACCAGGGATCAGGGCTTAGTAAATATCACTTACCCATAGGTTTTCAGTAGCTGTTCATATCATATGTCTTCTTTCCTCTCTCCTTGCCCTAGGACAGTGTCCTACATTTTTGTATGTGTGATATTCAATAAAGACCCTACTGGTAATCTTACAAAATTTTTAAATGCTTTTAGTGTGATAACTTTGAGCAGGTGTGAGATTTTAACTTTTTTGGGGGGGACTTTAACCTGTCTCATTTTCTTCCTCTAAGCTGATACACCTCCTCCTGCATATATGCCCCCTGATGATCAGATGGGTCAAGATAATTCACAGCCGATGGATACAAGCAGTAATATGATTCCTCAGATAATGCCCAGTATATCTAGCAGAGGTAAGAGAAGTACGTAGCTGGGGCCGTGCTGTGGTACACAGGTTAAAGCATCCTGCTAGACTGAGTGCCTTCTCCACATCTTAGCTAGGTTGAAGTATAGAGTTTGGTGCGTTAAATATATCTGTAATGTGCAACCATTTCTACTCATCCACTTTCAGAATTCTTCACCTTGTGAATCTGTATGCCCATTGACCATTTCTTCCTTCCCCTCTTCCTGGCAGCCTCCTTTCTGTCTTCTGTTTCTGTGATTTTGACTGCTCTGAAGTATATCAAATATAGTAGTGTGTGTGTGTGAGTGTGTGAGAGAGAGACTACATTATTTCACATAGCATTGATATCCTTAGAGCTCACCCATGTTGAACTGTATGTCATGATTTCATTCCTTTTTGAGGGTGAGTCATACTCCAATGCATGTGTAGACTAATTTTATTTTTCTGTTCATCCATTAATGAGCACTTGGCGTGCACTTTTTTTTTTTTTTTGACTGCTCTGTACATGAGTGTACCGCAAAGCTCTTCAAGACTGCGTTTCCAGTTCTTTAGGTGAATACTCAGAATTGGAATGGCTGGGTTATATGGTCATTATTAGTTTTTGAGAAACAAGCAATATAGTTTTTCATAGCAGCTATGCCATTTTGTTTTGCCAGCTATGTTGTGCCAGAGTTCCAGTTTTTTATATCCTTGCCAGTGTTTGTTATTTTGTATTTTTTGGGTAATGGCCATCCTAATGAGTGTGAAGTGGCAGCTTTAAAGCTTGATTTGCATCTCCCTGGTGAGTGGTAGTGTTAGCATCTTCTCATGTGTATATCAGCTTTGGAGAAATGTTTCTTCTAAATGCTTTGCTCATATCTGAATTGACATTTTTCCTTAGATGTACGAGTTTTTAATATATTCTGGATATTCTTATAAGGCACACGATTTGCAAATCATGGTATAAGCTTTGAAAGTGAGATGTGTAGTTGTCCAGCTTTGAAATTTTTCAAAAAATTTTGACTTTTGTGTTTTTTACACTTCCATGTATTTTGATATTAGCTTATTAGTTTGTGTGAAAAACAAACGCAAGAACTCTGTGCTCTGCTGGAGCTCACATTACATTCAAGATCAGTTAGGAAATATTTGTCATCTTAACACAGCCTTCTGATACATGGGCATGGAATATCTTTATACTTCTCAGTTTTTATTAATGTAAATCTTGTACTTTTAGTTCTCTTTATTAAACTTATTTCTAAACAAATATGATTTTTAATATAATTTTGAACTTTTTATTAGTATGTAAGAATTCATTTAATATTTTTTAAAAATGTGTTTTATTTACTTGAAAGAGTTACAAAAGAGAGAGGCTGGACCCTTGGCATGCCAAAAGCCAGGTGCTTGATCTGCACACAGTGCAGAGGCCCAAGGGTTTGAGCTGTACTCCACTGCCTGCCCAGGCGGGGGCCTGGATCTGCAGAAAGGCAGCCAGCACTCACATGTGGATGTCAGTGTGGTGGGCAGCAGGTTAACATGCTACACCACAGTGCTGGGCCCTCACCATGACGTTGCTGAACTCCCTCTTGGGTTTTCTACAGTCATTTTATTTGTAAATGAAAACATTTATCTCTTCTCCCAGTCTGTGTACTTTGTGTTTCCTTGTATCTTGTTGCATCAATGGTACTTCTAGTACAGTCTTGAAAAAGAATGTGTGAACACTGTTCTTACCAAGAAACTTAATAAAACCTTCAGTACTTATTGTGTTGTTAGTTGTACTTTTATTTAATTTATTCATGTTTTTAAACTGAAAAGCAGACTTACAGAGAGAAAGGTACTCTGTCTGCTGATTCACTCCCCAAATGGCCACTACAGCTGGAGCTGAACTAATCCGAAACCAGGAGCCAGGAGCTTCCTGTGCTTTCATGCAGGTGCAGGATCCCAAGGCTTTGGGCTGTCCTTCACTGCTTTCCCAGGCCACAAGCAGGGAGCGGGATGGGAAGTAGAGTAGGCAGCACATGAGCTGATACCCATATATGATCTTGGTGTGTGCAAGGCAAGAATTTAGCCACTAGGCCATAGTGCCAGGCTTATAAGTTGTAGATTTTCTGTCAATGTTCTTTATCTGTTTGGAAGAGTTCTTTATTCCTAGTTTCCTGAGTGGCTTGGGTTTTAGCTAAACTTTTGTTTATATAATAGTTTTACAGATAATGTTTTGTTAAATCTTTTAGGTTGCTGAGGAAGAAGTTTGCAAGCCTGAACTAGAATCTGCTAGAAAATTTATTTAAATTGCAATGTTGCTGCTCTTTTCTCAGTTGTGACCTCCCAAAATTTGTCAGTTTCTGATGGTATTTAGGAAGTAATTCAATTTCGGTAAGGTTACGAGGTGAACCCATGATAAGGTTGTGGGAAGAAGAGAGATCCCACTATCTCCGAGCAGTAAGGTGATTGGCGACAAGCTATTAAGTGGACCCTGCTCAGACACTGAAGTTGTTGCCACCTTGATTCTGAACTTCCTGCCTGCAGAATGACACATTTCTGCTGCTTGAGTCTCTCACCCTGGTGTTTTGTTACAGCATGATTGGCTTCTAGAGATAATTTGCTGCTGATAAAATGCCTGGAAAATAAGGACCTGGCTTAAAATCTAGGTAAAAGGTAGAATGTTGAGGTCCATGTCAGAACACACCTGGCTGTGGGTGACAGGGTGCCAAAGTACTCAGCCGTCCTTTTTCTCAGATGCATTGCGGGTAGCTTCATGGGCAGCAAAGCAGTGGGAACTCAAAACAGGGATCCCTAGGGGAGAGCGGAGTGGCAGATGTTTACCCATTGTGGCACAACAGTGCTGAAGGAATGGTCTGCTTCCTCCTGTGACTAATGGTAAAATGTAAGAAAAATGAAGAATGAATTAAGTCAAAAAAAGAGCCATAACTTTATTAAGAATTTGGAAAGTCTTCATCCATATTGCGAAAAATGAGAAAAGCATGTTCACAAGAGAACACTAAAGGTGTTGCCCATGAAGCAGTTGGTGAGGTTGGTGTGGATGTGTGTGAGCCATGACTCTATCAGGCATCCACTCTGACAGGGTGCAGCTCAGTTTGAACTAAAGGCAACAGACTGGTGGGAAGGAAGGAAGGCTGTCAGGTTTCTTAAATTCTGTAGGACAGGTCATGAAGGTATTGGACTGAAAACTTGTTCTGTTCTTCAAAGGGTGATAGAGATGATTATGAGCCAGGCTGCGGCCCTGGCTTCCAGACTGGATGTTCTCCCAAGCCGAGTTCCACCAGGAGCCTGGAGTTGGCTATCTGCCCACTGCCCCGCCTCCAGCACATAACTGGTTTCACAGGTTTACAGCAGGAGAGCAATTTTGCCTTGGGATTTTGCCTGAGTCTCACCCACTTCTGATTTAGAGGAAACTGGACTTTAGACTTAGGGTACTGATAGGAGTTAATACTTCAGGGTTTTGGCTTGGAGTATATATATTTAACTTGTGAAAGATAAAAATTTTGGAGGGCTAGGAATGGAATGCTTAAATGGTTGCAAATTCTGATGTTGAAACCCTAACCCCTAGTGTGTTGGCATTTGGAGATGGGGCCTAGGGGAGGTAATTATGGGTAGGATGGGTTGATGAGGGTGGAGTCCTCCTCCTGAAGAGCCTAACACCCTCCAGGAGGAGGAGGGACTGCTCCTTCCTTGCCCACACTGAGATAAGGCTCCAGGAGCACAGACAGTGAGAGGGCATTTGTCTGCAAATTGCAAAGTGGAAAACCTGTCCCTTGATCTTTGATTTCCATGACTGTGAGAAATAGATTGCTGTGGTTTAAATTAGACAGGATTTGGTATTAGAGCAGTCCAAGCAGGTTGAGATTTTTGTCAGTCTATATGGTTTTTAAAATTGTCAAGCTAAAACTTCTATCTGGTGTTGTTGTTTTGGTTTGGTTTGGTTGTTGTTTTTTAGAGGTGGATTCAAAGGCAGGCAGGACCGTAAAACTTTTTCAAAAAGACTGAACATTTGGGGCCCTGGCACTGTAGCCTAGTGGGTAGTCCTTGCCTTGAACACACTGGGATCTCACATGGGTGTCAGGGTTATGTCCCAGTGGCCCCACTTTCCATCCAGCTTCCTGCTTGTGGTCTGGGAAAGCAAGGGAGGATGGCCCAAGGCCTTGGGACCCTACACCTGCATGGGAGACCCAGAAGAAGCTACTGGCTCCTGGTTTTGGAATGGCTCAACTCTGGCCATCGCGGCCACTTGAGGAGTGAATCAGTGGATAGAAGATCTTCTCTATCTCTCCTTGGTGTATATCTGACTTTCCAAAATCAATCAATAAATTTTAAAAAATGAAAATTTTTTTCCATGTAGAGTGTGGTTTGGGTTAAAGAGTGTAAAAACAGTAAAAATCTAGAGTTTTAGGCCACCTACAATGTCTCATCTTAATAATGCTCTACCTCCAAGTGCCAGGGTCCTATATGGGCACCAGTTCATGTCCCAGGTGCTCCAGTTCCCATCCAGCTCCCTGCTTGTGGCCTGGGAAATCAGTTGAGGACGGCCCAAAATCTTGGGACCCCATGCGGGGACTCCTTGGGATTCCTGGCTCCTAGTTTCACATCCTGGCTGTTGCAGCCACTTGGGGAATGAACCAGTGGACAGATGACCTTTCTCTCTGTTTCTCTCTGTTTCTCCTTCTCTGTAAATCTGCCTTTCCAGTAAAAATGAAATATTTTTTCAATAATGGAAAATAATGTATAATTTCTTATAAATTCTTTATTAAACTTTTTTCTGTCTGATTTATTCACAGATGTTCAGCCTGTTGCCTATGAGGAGCCCAAGCATTGGTGTTCAATTGTCTATTATGAGTTAAATAATCGTGTTGGGGAAGCTTTTCATGCATCATCTACTAGTGTGTTAGTTGATGGATTCACAGACCCTTCCAATAACAAAAATAGATTCTGCTTGGGGTTATTGTCGAATGTGAATCGTAATTCCACAATTGAAAACACTAGGCGACACATTGGAAAAGGTAATGTTGTCATTTTGTTCTTTCTGTGTGTTACGCACTGTCTAAGCTTACGGCCTAACCTCTGTCTCAAGTGACGTATATTGGAGGCTGTATTACAGAAATAAAGACAGAGTTAGTCCCCTCTTCCTTGTCATGCTTAGCTTTCCTGGAGCGAAGATTGTCAAGTCATATTTACTTTTTGGGTGTTACCTCAAAGTTGTATGGAAATTTGCCTTGTTGATAACAGTACCCTTGATAGTTCGATAAACTACACAGGAAATTGTGGAGAATAGCAATTCTGGTGAAGAATTAGGAGTTAATTATGGTGTTTTGGGTATCTGGGAATATATTCAGAGTTGTCTAGTTATCAAAGCAGAGTTAGAGATGGGAAATCAAGCATGATGAATGTTGTCTGCAGTGGCTTCACCACAGATTGTGGCTCCAAGGTTTGGTATATAATAAGTCCCACAAGTTGCCACAGCAAACAAGACCCTGTTGCCCTGCACCTGGCTGCCCTGGAGTGCCAGCAGTCAGGAAGAAGGTTCATAGAGGCAGAGTGTCAGCTGTAGGCTTACTTCCTGCCCCTGGCTTTTGCTGCTGCTTGCTTTTTGTTCTCAGAAACAAAAACAAGAACATTTTTATGAGTTTTCTCATAGAAGATATTTTTGAAAGTACCATCCCAAAAATGAGTTGTAAACTTTTGCCACTTTGTGTACTTTGTTGCCAGTTGCTTTGATTTATCAGGTGAACTGCATCACTTAAGTTTCCCTGAGTTCCACCTCACATTACAGCAGAAATAATTTAAGAGAAATCCATTTGGTGAAATCTGAAATTCTTGAATTAATTTCCGCCTTTTCCCTAGTACACAGTTCTGAAGCCTTGTCTTCATGGGTCATTTTTACTTGTTCACAAAACACAATTTTCGATATCAGCCCAATATTTATTCTCAAATTATGTGTACCATTTAAAATCTAGAATGGAAATTTGTATTTTGGGGCATAATAACATCCTCTAAGATTTGTTAGAAGAACAAATTTCTGATACCCTAGAGAATAAAGCCAAACCAGACACTTGCCTGTGTATGAAGCAGAAATATTCCAGAGTGAGTTAGATTTGTAATTAATTGCATATTAAAAGTTTTGAAAGTCAGTGTCTTCTGCTTTTGAGGAAGAATGAATTTGAAAAGGTGGATAGGTAATTTGGGAGAATACTAGATGTCTTCAGCGTTAGTGATAGAATATACTTTGAAGACCAAATGGTCACAAGGGCCAGGCCTGGGCCAGAAGCCTAGAATTCCGTCTGGGTGTCCCTTCTGTGTGCCCAAGGAACCAGGCTGTTGGAGGTGGCCGCTGAGGCTCTGTGCCACAAATTCTGGCCCCAGAATTTTAGTTTCATTAAAACTTTTCACTTACATATATACATATAAATTAAAACAAAGTAGAGAATCCCATCTAAAATGCTTCTTGTGACTTGAAGTGTATAGCATTGAAAATATGTATGTACATATTTTTGCAGTCCTTTAGTAGAACGAGTGCTGCGTGACTATTGACAGCCCAGTCATGCTCACGCCTTTGAGGCATCAGGAGGCATTTTCAGAGTTCCCTTTAGGAGCTACTAGGGGATTGTTGGAGAAGGAAAAAAGCTAAGAGTGAATCCCTGTTTGTCTTCCAGTCTCAGTTCCTTGGGAGCAGAGCCATCTTGGACTGGGCTTGCATTAACCTTGTAATCCTTTTTGGCAGTGGAAGGCCATCTAGTGGTAGTCCTTAGTTGCAGATAATTGGGAGCTGTGAATCTGTGGTATTTCCTACAGGCTGTACTTACCTTGTTGACATCCAGCATATGGCCTTGGTTTAGCTGACTCTTGCTGTCTTTTTAAGGTGTTCATCTCTACTATGTTGGCGGGGAAGTATATGCCGAGTGTCTCAGTGACAGCAGCATATTTGTGCAAAGCAGGAACTGCAACTTCCACCATAACTTTCATCCCACCACTGTCTGTAAGATTCCTAGTAGCTGCAGTCTCAAAATTTTTAACAATCAAGAGTTTGCTCAGCTTCTGGCCCAGTCTGTCAATCATGGATTTGAGGCAGTGTATGAGCTCACCAAAATGTGCACCATTCGGATGAGTTTTGTCAAGGTGAGCAAGTTGTGATTCATAATATAATGTGAGGTGCTGTAAATATGTGTAGTATGTATTCATGTTGATTTAAAATTTTATCTGTTAAATGAAAGCAAATAATTTTGACATGATTTAATGTTGTTTTAAATTGTTTAATATAACATTTTATTTTGTAATCCAGAATTATAAAACTCATGGTTGACTACTTTAGATGTCAAATAGGAGCTGATTTTGTGAAAAACTGCAGTTTAAAGGCTGGAAAACATTTATATTAAAGTGCATTTTCAGTTCTTAGCATCAACAGTTCTATTATTATATTCTAACATAGTAACAGTGGCTTAGATTATGATAGTTATTTTTACCTGTATCTAAGCTCTAAGCGTTGGTGAAATTCAAAGAACTTTGTAATTTAGTGTTTACCCTCTTGATCTGGTTTTGTTGACATTGCAAAGATTACAGTTCACAGGAAATTGTAAAAGAACTTTAGTGATGGGCCCAGCGTGGTAGCCTAGTGGCCAAAGTCCTTTTCTTGCACACACCAGGATCCCATATGGGTGCCGGTTCTAATCCCGGAAACCCTGTTTCCCATCCAGCTCCCTACTTGTGGCCTGGGAAGGCAGTCGAGGATGGCCCAAAGCCTCAGGACCCTGCACCCACACGGGAGACCCAGAATTTTAGTAGTGCATTTCGACTGCCTGTACCTCTCCATGTGAGCCTACAGGAGATGGCGGAGTAAGGGTTTTCAGTCTCGCACCCCAGCAGTCCCTCGCTGCTTTGTTGTAGCTCTGTTGTATTTACATCAGATTATCAATTACCTGGTGGTAATTCCGACTCTGTGAATATGTGACTTTTTCTTACTAAGTTTCATGTCTGTTCTCCATCTTCTCGACCCATCTCCCTTGCTGTGTTCCTCCTACCCCACTGTTCTGGGCCACAACTGCCATAACTGGTAGAACAGAGAATTTGATAAATGTAAAGCAGTGAAGTGCAAGTTTTGATGAAAAAGTAGTGTATTTATTTGAAAAACATAGGAACACACAAAGTGTGCTGTCTTGTCTGCTGGTTCCCTCCCTGTCTATAGCAGCTAAGACGGGATGAGGCCGAAGCCGGGAGTTGGAAATGCAGCGTTGCTCAGGGCCCACTTGCTTGAGCCGTGGCCCACTGCCTCTCTGGGTGCACCATTGCAGGAAGCTGGAACCGAGAGGGGCAGCAGGACTCCAACCCAGGCTCCTGGGCTGCATTGGTAATATGAATAGTGCTTTATCTGCTAGTCAGAAAGGATGAGGGGAGAAAACATGGGCCGCACTTTTGCTTAGCAGTTAACTGCACGTGGCATGTTGGAGATTCTGGGTTTAACACCTGGTTCGGGCATCCTGGCAAAGGAAGAGATGGCTCAAGTAGCTGGGCTTTTGCCATTCCTGTGAGAGAGCTAACTGAGTTCCCACCTCGTGGTTTCACTCATTGTGGGCATTTGGGAAATTAACCAGTGGATGGGACATCTCTCTCTCAAATAAATAAAAACAACAACAGCAACAAAAATTCTTGGTAGCAATCTGACATGAACTAACTTGGTACTATTTATGAATTTATGTAATTGAGAATGTATTTCATTACAGAAACTCTGTTTTAGTTATGAGGTATTCTATTGCATTTCCAAAATATATTTCTGGACTAATTTGGCCCCATAGATTTCTTTCTTTTTTTTCTTTTTTTTTGCTTTTTTTATTTATTTAATTTATTGTTGTTTATTGTCATTTTATGATAGTTCCATAGGCCACTGGGATTTCCCTTATCCCAGCCCCAATTCTTCCCCCCGCCCCGCCACCTAGATCCTCTCTATCATTACTAAAGTATAGTTATTTATACACAGTCATATGTCCATCATTGCGGGCATGGACAATGGCAGAGAATCCAACGTCCTATTGTCAAGATATAGTAAATAGTTTCATTGTAAGTCCATCTTTGTCTGGAAGTAGAAATGCATACTACATTGTATCCTCCACATCTGGATGTTAGTCTCCATTTCACAGCTACTGTATATCTCCTCAAATGAAAAGTCATAATAGAAAATCAAAAATAGAAAGAAAAATAGAAATTTACAATGCCATGAAGTTAAATAACATGTTACTAGATATGACAGTCTCCATTACACAGCTACTATACATCCCCTTAAATGAAAAGCCACAAAAGAAAATCAACATTAGGAAGAAAAAAGAAATTAACAATAGATTTCTACTAAGGGAGTTATGTGTTATTTAAAAATTCATGTGTTTGTGAATAATGAGTTTGTTATTTTGCCATTTCTGGTTTTAAGCTCTCTGTTTGTAAGACTGGTTAACTATTGAACAATAAGTTTGCCGTGCTTTCTGTTCATTTTCGTAGGGCTGGGGAGCAGAGTATCACCGGCAGGATGTCACCAGTACCCCGTGTTGGATTGAGATTCATCTGCATGGGCCTCTTCAATGGCTGGATAAAGTCCTTACTCAGATGGGCTCCCCTCTGAACCCCATATCTTCTGTTTCATAGTGCAGAAGTATTCTTTTCAATTACATTATTGGTGGACTTGTTTTAATTTTAGAGAAACTTTCAGTACAGATACTGTGAGCTTACATGGAAAGCAGATATTACAGGTTATTTTTTTTTCTACATAATTGTGACCAATACATTTGTATTTTGCGATGAATCTACATTTGTTTGTATTCCTGTTCACGTGATTAACTCTGAGGTGTTATGAAAGATACGAAGAATTATGCCCCAGGCCAGAAGTTTGCATTGCGCTTAAACTGGAACATGCTTTTGCTTTATTTTTACAGTAATTTTTTGTTTGTTAAATTTTTTGAAAAAGGAATCGCATGGTAAAAAATGAAAATAGAGTATATTGGAGAGTAAGCCTTCCTCCCGCGGTTGATCTTCCAGAGACTAGTTTTACCACCATTTTTGTCCCGCTGTTTTTATAAAAGTACAGTTGATTGGTTTACAAAAGCGTAAGATAGGGCTTAAGAGGAGTTCTGGGAGTCTTGGGTTAGAAGAACACTGTGCTCTCCTCGGCAGGGAGTGCTCAGTAAGAGTGATAGTTTTCTAGATGCCATCCTAAAATTCACCTTTGACATAGCTAAGTGTTTATCAGTGTAATGTGATTTTATGCTGTGTACCTTTTATAAGACATTTCCCTTTTAAAAATAATATTGCAAATAACGGATCTCTAGTATATGTCATTTACTCAGAATCTGTCGTAAATACTACTTTATAGCCAGTGACAGTGCATGCATGGCCGTGGCAGCTCTGCTGCTTTTGGCCAGTGTTGCGAGAACTCTAATTTTTACATGCATTAGTCTTTTGTTTTGCACTTTGATGGGTGGCATTTCTTAGTGTGAGCTTCGGTATAACACTCAAGTGACTTGGATGTAGATGCTTTATCCTTACTTCCTTGGTTATCCCTTTTGTATTAATAAACAGTGCAACTTTTAGACTACAGATGTAGAAAGTTAGGCTTTTTCCTTTTCTTTTTTTTATTTTCAACTTAGGTTTTTATAAGACTGTTATTGTGTAGCTCCAACATCAGGTGCCTTTTTAACTCCCTATGATTGTATGGATGTTATTAATGTTGGAAATCACGCACTTAATGCTACTGCTTTCTTTCAGCCCACTCATGTGGGGACCTTTGTCCTGTAGCTCTGGGGGTGGCCCTTCAGTGTTGTCCCCAAGGAGGAGATTTCTAGCTCAGTATCCATATGAGTTGGCAGTGAATATTGGCATGGCTGATTTTTGGAATTTGTAGGATCTTCAGACTTTCTTCTCGCCATCAACGCTCTGTTTCCATTTTAGTAGCCTTGCGGATGCTAGACTCCCAAAATATAGTCTTCAAAGAGGAAATATCTGATAACCCTAAAATGTTAATAGAAAAACTTTTAACCACTTTTTATAGGGAGCAGTTTAATGGGCAGTTAGTTGTGGCAAGAAAATAAATAAAGACGTTATTTGGGGAAAAAAACTACCTGATTTACCCAACACAAGTTTTATTTTCTGGTGCCTTTTGAAAATATGTGGAGATGATGTCGTTCTTTTGTTTAAACTGTTGGCTTGACTTTATAGTTTGCTATTTTTGCTTTTGTGGGAAAAAAAGTGTGTCTTTCAAGGAAAGGATTATGCAATTTCTTTTGTCGTCTGTGCCATTATTTATTGTTTTTTTTTTTTCAAATGCAGCCAGTAGGTGGTTTGAGTTCTTTGAGGTGAAGGCCATTGGTGTCCCAGCTCATCATTCTTGCTAGGTGACAGAACCACTTAGTGACAATCACCTGAGCCTTAACACACGTGTTGTAGCCATGCATCGTTGCTCTCTCAGAGCATTGGTAGCCACCTGGCAAAGCCATTTGCTTGACATCTTCATTTCTTTGCCAGCAGAGGCACATGGCTCAGTCTTTGGAGCAGATGTGTGGTAAAGAAAAAATTTACTCAAGTTGAGTGATGGAAACATGTATTAATCTTCAGCAGCTTCTAGTGGTAAACCTAAAAGAATCTGTTGCACAGTTTTTGGGATGTTTTGAACTGAGAGTTAATTAAAAATTATTTTTATTTGTGGCCATGATGTCACAGCTATTGGAATTAGGATTTTATATCATTTTCTTTTTTGTTGTTGCCTTTAAGGTGTAGCTCATAAATGATAGTACTGAAGCTGTTAACTGTTGGGAGTTTCATGGAGAAGTATAAACTTTTTTGTGTGTTTACTAAAAGTTGTGAACTTGGCACCTGTGGATTTTAATGAAAACTTCATTCACTCCAGTTGCTTTACAGTCTCTTAAGTATGCCCTCGTCTCTGTGGATAGGAAATGAAAATTGCAGTTCCAGCCAAAAAAGCATCTTTTTAGACTTCCTTATTTATTTGAAAGAGAGACAGAGAAAGGGAGAGACAGAGAGAGAGAGAGATGTTCACCTAACTGCTCATTCCTAAGTGCCTCTTCTCAAATGCCTGCAACAGCTGGGAGGGACCAGACTGAAGTCTGCAGTCAGGAACTCTACGAGTCTCTCGTGGGGGTTGCAGAAACCCAGCTACTTCCCAGGTACGGAGTTGAGTGGGAAGTAGAACAGGTGGGACTTGAACCAGGCATTTTGATACGAGATGCATTCCAAGTAGCAGTTTAACCCATTGTGCCATAATGCCTACCCCTTGAAAGTTACAGCTTTAAGTGTTTATGTAATCTGCAGAATGTTTCATAGTTGGTCAAATTTAGGAAAACATCACTACCAGAATAATCACTGTTTTTACAAGTATATACCAGCTGAGAAAGATGTTCAGAATGAGGAAATAAGAAAGTTACCATCAGTCTGATAGGTTCAAGAAGCAGAGTGGAATCAGATCAACCACAGTGATGAGTTACAACAAGAAAATGTTGAATGCAGAAAAGCAGGATGTGAGAGGTACATGTAGCAGTCATCTGTCTGTACATAATGACATAGTATGGCCTGGTTGGCACCGAGGAATGTTAGCTAGTAGGCATGTTATTAATCTACTGAGACTCACTCTTTTTTTTTTTTAAGGAAATTTGAGGAAAACAAAATATGAATTACATGCCTCAAAATATAGATGAATCACTTTTTACACTTCATTGTTGCTTTTTAAGAAAACTGGTAATAGAATTGACTGAATTCTTGAGGTGAAATCTAAGAGTAGTTTAATAGGTTGATAATTCCACATGCTGCACTTAATTATTCACAAAGCAGAGCATTTTGAAACTCTATCTAGCATTGGAAAACATGGCACTCTTTGGGGTGTAGATTGGTCATTGAGTATTCAGGTCTGGAACCTGTTGTCAAGATCTCATCTTCGTTCCAAACCCCGCCTCCCGGGAGCAGTTCCTTTCCCGGTCACAGTACTCCCTCGGAGGGGAACATGGACATGGCAAAGCCATCACACCAGCAGAGAGGCTCCAACATGTGCTAGTTAGTGTCTGTCGATAGCAGTGTGCTTGGGTTACCCAGAGTGTCTGGTGGACCTATATCGAGACATTTTCTTGGTACTTTTTCTTGTTACTTGTTTAGTATTTTGGCTCATTAAAATCTTTCCACTTAAGAAATACATTATTAATCTTTTTTATTTCCCAAGGAAGGCAAACTCTTGATAATGAGTGAATTCAGCTTCCAGCAATGAATTTAGCGATGGTAACTTTTAACAAAGTCAGAGCCCTTCCTTATAAAGTTCTCAGTCTCCCCAGTGTGAATCTGAACTTGTGTCCTCTCACACCCATCAGCTAGGCAGGCTTCATTTAAGGCAGTGGTTTCAGGAGTGCTCCACAAGTTTTATGAAGGAAGCTTTCTTAAACGGTGATTTATTGGAAGTCTGAGACACTAACCAGGACGGCGTTTAATGAGTTTGATGCCTATTTCCCAGAGCAAAGCCACACGTTCCGCATTGATGCTTATCACAAATGATGCCTATTTGAACTATTAGAGTTGAAGGCATTTCTTTTGAATACTCCAAAAATTCTGCCCGCCAAACAGAACCTCACTTTCCAATATTGGGTGCTGGCCACCGGAAGTAGCAGCATTCATCAAGCCTGTCACCTGGGATCACCTGTCTTCCGGAGTACAATTGTCCTATAAATGAAGTGATATCCTGCAATTGGGTCGTTCTCCAAAACCAGTGGAAGTGAATTCACACTTCAAGGGATTATTGCTGTTGTATTATAAATGAGAAAATAATACGCTGTAATATTTGCCAGGAGCTGCTGTCGTAACACAACTGATGTGTTACTTTGTTGGGAAGATCTTTTCCTCAAGTGGGGGTTCGTTGGTCATTAGTGGCAGAGTGAGAAAGGTTTATGTCATTCTTGTTTAAATAACTTGAGTCCTAAAATTTTTGGAATCATTCTAAGGTGTCAATTTAGTAAGAATTTATTTGAAAAATCTTGTGTACAGGTAGATTTTTTTGCCCTTATTAAGGAATGGGTAGTGTTGTCTTGATATTATGTGGTATGAACTATAGCAAAACTCCGTTGAGGCCAAAGAATCCCAAACCTTGGTAAAGAAGTCTTTCAGGGTCACATTTTTGCCTTTCACCACTGCTGGAGATGACATTGCTTTGGTTTATTCCTAAAACACTAATTATAGAGGCTGTTAAGGTCATGTTTCAGCAAGTGATTTCTTTTTTCTCTTTAACCTATATGGTTAAAGTTGAAATCACTTAAGATTATGACAAAAATATTCTCCTTGCAAGGTGTTTCCCACGCAGTTAATACAGACCAAACTATCGGCTGTACTGCAGGTCCCGCTTCTCAATTTATACTTGTTCTGCTTCTGTTGATACTGTAGAAAATGAAGTTCTAGCAATGTGCTTCAACTGGGTTTTTTTTTTTGATACTTACAAACATGTATTAGATTTTATTATATTGTGCTTTTCAAAGCCATAACTCTTTTAAAAATGTGTTTTTGCAATTGTTTGCTAATACTTTATTTTAATAAACCATAAAAGCCGCCTGGTGTGTCTGCTTTGACTACTTTTCATTAGGAAAGAGGGATGAAGATGGCCTGTTGCTGTCACCCGCTGAGTTACATATTTGTGTGCTGGTGGTAGAACATGAATGCACTACTTCTTGCAGCACAGCTCAGAGCTATTGAGATTCACTTTTTCCATTGTGTTTATATGGGAGTTGATGTGTTTTTCTTTTCAATATTAAAAGAGAGAATTTTGGCAGACTTTGTGATTTTGGATCACTTAGGGTCCAGACTGGAGTTTTGGAGATTTGCCAGCAGTTTCCCATCTGTAGATCTCAGTGTCTGTAAAGGAGAAGGCTCAACTGGATGACCGGAATACGGGATTTCAAGCAAGTGGCTGTTAGCAGAGCAGGCTGTAGACTCTGCCTGTCTGCATCGGGTCTTGCTGTGTGCCCTTAAGGAGATTGCCTCCATCTCTCTGCACCTCAGTTTCCTGATTTGTAAAATAAAATCTGTGTAGGATTTGGCCTAACATCACTCAAGTAATACAAGTAATACAAACAAAGTGTGCAGACCACTGCCATGGATATGACTCCTTGTTAAATCACTACCTTGCATGTTCTTATGACCTTGTTTATTTCATAGTAATTGCTAATGCTGTTTGTCCTTGAGCGAGCCAATTTGTGAGTCTGCTGTATTTCCATTCTGTTTTGTCTCCTCCTCCTCCTTTGTTGAAAACGTGTAGATCACAGTTTAGTTTTGATCATCCCATCATGTCATTTCCACCCCACTGTGTGGTGTGGAAAGGAATTGCCAGCTCAGTCTAATTAAAAAGAGATTGTGAAGATTCAGGTTCACTGGCTGGAAGAGTCCAAAAAACTGCAATATATAAATCTCTCAAAAGAAATGGAAATGTTCTTTAGAGAAAAGATTTGCTCAGAAGAATCAGTTTCTCTAAATCAGTTTGCCTCTTAGATCTTTTTATTTGAAAAGCATCTAATAAAATGTTTTGTAGAAATTTCACTGAAGCTTGCCAAGTATTTTTATTGTTTTTAAAGTACTTATATTCACAAAATATTTTAATGATTTAAGATTGTTTTCAGATTGGAGTCAAACCAGTTGAGATTCAGGAGTAATGGCTGATTGTATTCTGTGTCACTGCAGTTTGATGCAGTTTGTGTTTGTTAAGCATGTCTTAGAAGGCTGTCTGCAGTCAGCCCTTCCAACAGAGTACTTTAAAATTGTACATAGGATGTGTAGTTCTTAAATGAGTTGTGGCATGTCCAGGATTGTGTGACCATAGATGAAAGCATTTTTAAAAGCTCCCCCTCATCTGCCATTTTAAACTCCATAATGCTTTTTAGTGTTGAATTTGTAAGTGTACAAACTTTAACAAGTCTTATGGGGAAAAAGTTTTCTTGTTCTTTGGTCTAAAAAACTTATTAAAAGTTGTTGTTTGTTGTGTTTTCCAGAAAGGGGTATAGTGCTCCCGTGGAGAAAATGGACATAACTGCTGTTGGCATTGGCTTAATCATTTCCATTGTAAAGTGTTTAGGATGGAAAGGGGACTTTAGTCTGGTGGTTAGAACTTCTTTAATATTGATTTTGTATCAGGTAAGTGTGTGTCTTACTCCATTTGACAGATTCTTGTTAGGCACTGGTTTGATATTTGCAAGTAGATTTTGGAAAGTTCTGCTTATCCCTTTTTTATTCCCCATTCTGTGGATTTCACCTATGCCTCATTTTCCATAATACTCCAATCTCAGAGAAAACCTGAGGATTTTAACGTTAAAGAAAAATATGAACAGCAACTCTGAAGCCAGGAGCTCACCGCTAAATGTTTGCACTTGGGACCTTTGAACCGGGTCTGGTCGTGGGTTGCTCTGCATTAGACCTTTGCTGTCTCTCATGGGGGTAGGCTGGCTGGGATGGAGCTCTAGACCTGGCTTATGAAAGGACTCCCACAGAAGCTGATTGGTTACAAAATGGTTAACATTCTCACTACCCAAGAAAGCTTTTCCTTGCTCATAGAATCATCATCTAACATCCACCAGGTGTTTTCTGTGTGCTCTTTATTGACTTGCAAGCTCGGAGGGCAGGCCTGTGCTGTCCCTGCGGGTGTAGCTCTCAGAAGTGGTAGGTAAGTCCTCCAGTATTTGCTGTGTACTTAGGACTGAAGCAAGAAGAGACATTAGGAAGAAAATTAGAGATTTTACTTTTGCACAGTGTACGTTCTTACCTGAATTGGTTCTAGTTCAGCACTTTGACTCCTTAGATTAAAGGGGGAAACTCAAGGAGTTAGAGGACACATATCTGATTTTTTCTTTTTTTTTAAAGATTTATTTT